TTGAAAAAATAAATAGTGATAGTTCATGGAACACACCAAAAATAATGGCTTTTATACGGTAAAAAAGGTTCGCGGGAAAAAAAAGAACAGAGAACAGTGTTATTGTTTTTTTCTGGAATGGGGCATTTCCCCCCGGTTCTCGGAAAAAAAATTCGGCGGGATTAAACATAATAAAAAAAAAAATTTAAAAAGTCAACCCCGGAGACCGGCGTTTACCGCCGGAGACCGGCGTTGCCCGCCGGTTAACGCCGGATTCCGGAAAAAAATTCCGGAAGGAAAAAAAAAAAAAAAAAAAAAAAAAATTAAAAAGTCAACGCCGGAATCCGGCGGGAAAAAAAAGTTTTTGAAAAAAAAAAATTTGTGAAAAAAAAAAAGTTTTGGGTCAAAATTGAATAATTTGTGAAAGTTGGGGTCAAATTGAAGTTAAAGTAAGTTAAGGATGAAATTGGAGCATATTAAAGTAAGAGGGGTTATTTTAGTCCTTTACATAAATCTGGACCATGTGTGGACTTATTGGTAAAGGAGAATATTGTCTGGATCTCTTTATGAATAAGTTCCCACTGATGGGCTTATTTGTAATATGCCCTTTTATTTAATTTACTTAAGTAAATTAAAAACATATATTTTTTTGTTGGGGCACCAAAATTTATAATTTTCTTTGAATTTGGACAAAATCATTGCTCATAACATCATTATATTGGATTTATGATTAACCTAATTTCATCATGATATATAATTAATTATTCCTTTAGTTTGCTTTGGCCTTCCTCAAATTTGTCTATTATATTAATGAAGTTAAAATAATTAGGATAAATAGCACTTACTACACTGTTGTTTGAACTTTGTGCATATAACCCCTTGTAATTTCAATATAGCACATGACCCCCCTAGTTTTTTAATATAAGCACATAACTTCCTTGTATTTAAAAAAAAAATCACCTTCCTAATATAATGAGCATGATTATTTGCCGAGTAGAATACCATAGGAGGTTATGTGTTTCTATTAAAAGTACAGATTGTTATGTGCACAAAATTCAAACTACAGGGAGTCATGTACTTGTATTGAAAATATAACTGAGTCATGTGCACAAAACTCAAACTATAGGGGGTTAAATGATATTTACCCTAAAATTGTGAGGAGAAGTTGATGGTAAATTACTTGCAAGGGAAGGCATGGAAATTGGGGAGTGGTCCAACTTGAAATGGCATAGGAATGCAAAGGTGTTTGTGCCCACAATGTGTTTGTGAGTTGTCGTCACAAAGATTGATTGTTGTTTAGCTTTATAAGGTGGCCATATTCAACTCATAGACTACGACTGATTTTTTTTAATTTTTTTTTATAATTTTTATTAATAAATTTATATAAGGTTTGAAGCATTATATTTCTTTAATTTTCATCCAATAAATTCATTCATTTTGTTTGGATTCTCATTCGACATGTTTTTTTTTAGTTTTTTATTAACACAATTTGGAGTTATTTGATGAGTAACTATAGTATCTTAAAGTTACTTCTTTTTCTTTTCTTTTCTTTTTTTTTTTCTCTTTTTTTTTTTTTTTTTGTATTGAATTTGGTAATTGTAAGTTAAGTTGAGTTAAATAATTATTTCTAAAATTGCAGCTAAGGGTGGAAATCATAATGAAATTTTCGAATTCCGCCAATTCTGATCCGAAAATATCCGAATTTGGAACTGTATTTTTCATTCCAATTTTCGAAGTTCCGATTTCCGATTTTTCCGAATTTATTTGGAACGAAATCGGAATTGTATATAAAATTACCAAAAATTCCGATTTCTGATCTGATTTTAATTCCAAATATTTCAATTGTTTTTCGAAATATATAATATAATTTTTATGATATATTTTGTAATTCAATAATATAACTTATGTTATATTTTATACAAAAGATATAAATATTGAAGGGTCAAGTAAATTAAAATCAAAAGATTAATTGGTAGTTGAAACTCTCTTTGTATTTTTTCTTATCAGAAAATCTTTGTTTCAATATGTTGTGTGTGTGTGTGTTTTGTTAATTTTATGTTAATATATTAATTTATTATTATTATTATTATTATTATTATTATTATTATTATTATTATTATTATTATTATTATTATTATTATTATTATTATTATTATTATTATTATTATTATTATTATTATTATTATTATTATAATATTAGTTATATTTCGACTAATTGTTTTTTTTTTGAACTCACAAAGGCGAAGAAACTATAAATAAGCTCAAACTTGAATTCGCTTAAAAATTCGAACTTTTATCGAGCCGAACTCATTTATATACTTCCAAGTATAGTATTGTTTTAGCTATATAAATCATAGTGAATAATTCCAGTGGATTCATCTCCGACCTTTCTCTTTCATGGGTTCAAAAAAGATATTGCAATACTAGTAGCTTAGACAACTTGCTGTCAGTCGACTTTGATTTCACTATACATGAAGTTCTCATTTGAAACAATAATGTGCAGAAAAAAATCTAAAGTTAATAAATTATTTTTTAAGGTTGGTTGGGATGTATGGTTTTAGGCATAAAAATCGAAATGAAAATTACCAATTTTGCCGATTCTGATCCGCGTAAATTTTGATAAATTTTTTTCATTTATAATGCAAAAAATTCCAACTACCGATTTTCCCAAAATTGAAATTGATATAATTCTTAACTTTCCGAAAAACTACGACGATTTTCCGATTAGAATAAATTTTGAATTTTAATTTTGATTTTTTTTTTTTGAAATCAAAATCGGAAGTGTTATTTTACTTTTGACTTGATCGAGAAGTTGAGTCTAATATGTGGCAAAATAGTAATAATCATATGCATGTTGATGAGATAAAATCTACACCCTCAAGACCTCACTCCAAATCTTCTTTTAAACCGTTGGAAAGTACACCGGACATCGGATCTTAGACCGGCGGTAGTGAAATGATGAACGACAAATAATAAGTATGAGAGAGTTTTTGGAAGAGAGTATAAAGTGTTCGTATTGATGTTAAATTGTGTCTATAATCGTTCCGTTAAATTTGTTTATATAGGCTCAAAGACGGACATTTCCCATCTTTAGGCCCTTTTGATTTGATCTTTATTTATTGCTAAATATTCTCTTGCTATCTATAATTACAATTATTTTCATCTATTTATCGAGCACGTTTTATGGGTATTCTTTTCCAACCTCTCTCATTCAGCTCACCACCTCATTGATTTGTCTCTAGCATGTTCGGATGAATTGGCGAGCTTGTTAACCACAGAACCTAGAGACATCGTTTTACCGAGCTTGGTACTAAGAGTTTTCTTCGAGCGAACTTTTAAAAAGGTATTGTATTTCACTAATATTCAATAGGTGGGCCCAACAAATCTCCTGCGACCCATACGTTTTGCCTTTATACTATTTAATAAGCTCAATATGGTGGCTTTGGCCCAATCTTGCTAAACTGACCCCATCACATATGCACGTGATAGGTTGAGACCGCTCGATCGGATACTCGTCCAAATACTCCTCATTGGACTTGGACTAGTCGAAAGCCACCTCTGACTCCATCTTCGTCGTAATTCCTCCCTCCAATATCAGTAATCCCTTGCCACGAACCACCATCTAAAGTTTGAGGAGAAAAGAAAAAGAAAAACAACGCATTATTAAAGATATGTGTCATCTCAAATAAAATAGATATGTGTCATCTCAAATAAAATAGATTTGATTGAGTTTTTTTTCCTTTTTTTTAATAGGATAAAATAATATCTATGAACATAAATAGTTTAACTCCATGTTTTGCAAAGAAAAGATTTGAAAAACTTGAGCAATAGCCCAACATAACTTTATGTAATTTCATTCGGTCCGGTAAATTTATATACTCTTTAAAATATCTTGGAAAATTTCATTTAAAAATTTAAAAATTTACGTTTCCACCTACAAATTTGATGACAATTTAATTCTCAACAACACTAAATGAACCAAATTCAAATGTTTAAAGTTTGCAATTTCATACAAATTTCAAATCACCTTAATAATAATAATAATAATTTATAACCCCAATAAATTTCTCTTCCTGCCTTTCACGGCAACATAAACGGCCACCACTTCTCTTCACAACTCAATTTCTTAATTTTTTCATTTATTATTATTTTTTTTTGGTGACTAACTTGATTTTCTAATCAGCTTTAAGTTCGAGTTTGTCACACATCTTATACGACTGATGTTATAATTTACATATTCGTGTAGTTTGTAAACTATTTGCACCAGAGTATAATTTGTCTGGGCATTCTTCTTTATTTATATAAAGAAAAAGTCAATTTGTTTGTTTTTTTTTTTTCTTTTTTTGTCAAAATTATAAAATTAAACCTGGAAATATTTCTCTCCGCACACAGTACACGACAGTTATGCTCCAATATCTCCCCCCGCACGCCCCCCACTCTCTTGTAGTGTATATATATTATACACTTGTATATATTGTAGTGTATAATACACTTATATATATATATATATATATATATATATATATATATATATATATATATATATATATATATATATATATATATATATATATATATAATTTCGCCGGGATTCGTAACGGTCATATATCTGGTCTCACTCTCTCTCTCTAACCACTCACTAAAACCATTCTGTTAGCTCGCTCCTAATTTCACTTCTACTCTCTCTCTCTCTCTCTCTCTCTCTCTCTCTCTCTCTCTAACTCGGTGTGACACGCTTCCCACGCTGAATCAAGGTGAAAAATTAGGGTTCGTAAGAGTGCGGGGAAATTCACACCCACTCGACAATGTGAAAATGGTAACTGCCGTCACATCGATTCCGAAGCAGCGGCCGTCGCAGAACCAGAAGCGGCCGCCGCTGCTCCCCTCCGATTCCGACAATGCGCCACCGCGGAGGCCCAGAGCTCGTGAAGTCACCTCCCGCTACTTGTCTCTCTCGACCTCCTCCTCCTCCTCCTCTTCCAATTCTTCTTCATCAACCAACACCACGCTGTCTTCCATCACCTCCGGATCATCGATTTCCTCGGGAAGGGCGCAATCTCCGATGCTCGGCGGCAGAACTGCAATTACCACCCCGAAGAGTCAGCTGAGAGCGGTGTCTGCGGAGAGGCGGCGGCCGGCGGCCGCGCCGCCGTCAAGCGCCGAGAAGATGCTGGTGACATCAATGCGGAGTTTATCGGTATCCTTCCAAGGGGAATCCTATTCTATACCGGTGAGTAAGGTGAAGCCCCCTCCTGCGGCGGTTGGTACCCCGTCGGCTTTGAGGAAAGGTACGCCGGAGAGAAGGAAGGCAGGTGTGACGCCTACGCGAGATCGAAGAGAGAGGGATATTGAGAATTCGAGGCCGAGCGATCATCATCAGCTGCAGCAGCATCGTTGGCCTGGAAGATTACGCCGCGAAGATTCGAGTTTCCTGACCCGGAGTTTGGATTACGGTTCGGAGAGAGTAAAATGTAGTGGATCCGGTGCTGCACTCAAGGAATTCAGAAAGTCAGTGGGTGAAGAAAACAGTAGTGACAAGGTCGGTAACGATTTGAAGCTTGAAACTAACGATGTTGAAGTTCGAGGAATAGGTGAGCTAGAAAATCGACCGAGATCAGGTAGTTCGTTGAATTTGGATGTGGAGAGTACTGCTACAACTCAATTGAGAGGCGGACCCCGTGCGGTTGTTGTGCCGCAACGATGCTGGCAAGAGACAAACCGAGTAAATAAAGTACGAGATCCTGCTTCTCCCTTACCAATCAGTACATCGAATAGAACAATAGGTCCTTCTAAACTAGTTTTGGCAAAGAAATTTCAAAACGATAGCCCTGTATCTTCGCCTCGGGAAGTTTCATCGAGTAGGGGAATATCGCCTCTCCGAGGGGGTGTGAGGGCGGCTTCACCATGCAAGGCCTTGAGTTCGTCAAGTGGTTCTGTGTCGAGGGGCATGGCTAGTCCAACAAGAGCTAGAAGTGGCGTAGGGAATTCGATGAACGAGAATAATACTTGCAGCACACCATCCGTGTTGCGGTTTGCTGTTGATGCGAGGAGAGGAAATTCGGGAGAGAATCAAATGGCAGATGCACATGTCTTGAGACTTCTATATAACCGGCTGTTGCAGTGGCGATTAGCGAACGCGAGGGTAGAGAATACCCTGTTGGCACAAAAACATACAGCAGAGGTACTCATTTGCTCCCCCCAATAGGTCTTGGCTTTTAAATGAACATATGTTGAACAAATTACAGTCGCATATATTCGATGGGATCACAGCATTAATTTATAGTATGCTTGGTACCCCATATGAAGTTTTAAGTAGTTGTATTGATGTGTCAAATTCTTATTATGGTTGAGTGCTTAATAGAGTAAAAAAGTACATAATTAGTGAGTTGATTGGACCGATATCTTGATCGTATTTATGACAGCAAATAAGATGGCATATAGTTGACTTCATTAGTTAAGATGGGAAGGACTACTCATTTGGGATCATAGGTAGGTTCAAGTCCCTCGGTAAATAGTAAGTGCATCTTAATGTTAGAACTTTAATTTATTAAATTGATAATTGTAGCGGCATAGTCCTTCAGAAAATGAAAGTAAACAACCCCATAAGAAACAGCAAAATATCTGGTGAGGCATTGGTGAAATGAAATTCATGCAGTAATCTTAATTGACAAGGCATGTATGGTTACTTGATTAGCCATGTTGTCTGTAACTAATAGTTGAAGTTGAATAAATATGGTATATATTGGCCGGTGTCGTAGAACTCAGCTGCCCGGTTGAGTGTAGGTTTTACTTGATAAGTTTACTCATTCGCCTTTATTGATATGCATTGAATGAGGGATGCAGATTAACTTACGGTAGTCATATAGGTGATGTGTGGTTATAAACGTGGCACTGAAATGATTTATGCATCAATAAACGTACATTTAGCAATGATATGGACTAGGAAACAACTAAGGTGTGTTTCATGCCACTCTGCTTTGGAACAAAAGCCAAAATACGGGGCTGTCTTTAAGTTGATCTATAATTTCCTTGAAGGCAAATTGCTCTTTGAGTTCAAAAAATATTTTTTTCATTTGCACTTCAGAATTCGAAGATACTTCCGCTTTGACGGTGCACAAGTTTGATCTTGATGAGTGATTGACGGTGCACAAGTTGTCGCGTCTACTTTCTGCTTCGTGTTGTTTTTCTTTGGTTGTTGAATTGCGTAGCCATTCCATTAGTTATTGTTAGATGGACATTATTCATTTCAACATGGCATTTTTAGCATGTTATGCTACATTTCCCGTTTGGTTTCTCTAGTTTAGCATTAAAGGGAAGTGTTCTCATCTCTGCCCATTTCTTTCTGCCTTCACCAGAGAAGCCTGTATAATGCTTGGGTGACGACCACAAAACTGCGGCATTCGGTTAAGTCCAAGGCAATTGAACTACAATCGTTACGACAAAATCTGAAGCTTTATTCTATATTAAAGGAACAAGTAAGACTTTTTTTCTTTCGTCCACTGACCTTCTCTTATTTGTTTCAGAGTTGATTTCAGTATATATATCTGCTTTTAGGAAAAAAGAACAATTGCTGGAAAATTGTTGAACTCAATGTAATCTTTCATATTGACTATTTTTACAAAAAAATATATGAAAGATCATTGTTTCTCATAGGCTATAATTTGAACTTTATTCATTGAATGCAGGATCCACATTTGCAGAGCTGGAGTCTGTTAGATAGAGATCATTGTGATTCAGTGTCTGGTGGTATAAAAGCACTCGAGGCTAGTACTGTGCGTCTTCCTATCATCGGTGGTGCAAGGGTATGATGGTCTTTTTCCTAATGAGTGCAGCATTCATGAATCTGAAATGTTAAATGTCGTTTCAATTTTACTAATACCGTTTTGACTTCTAATGTGATTTTGACCCTCTTGAAGTCGAAACGGTATTCTCGAAACTTGAAACAAACATTTATCACATCCCTTCATGAATTGCCACTGCGATAGTTTATCGTTATGGAACTAAAAGCACCTATTTTCTCATGTCCTCTGTTTTTTCTTTTTCTTTTTTTTTTTTTCATTTTCAGGCTGATGTTCAGAAGGTGCAAGAAGCAATATCTTCTTCTGTTGACGTGATGCAAGCAATGGCCTCTTCAATTTGCTTTTTGCTAACGAAGGTATTTTGTTTGAAATATCACATTAAACTCTTCAAATTTTAGTCACTCGCCCGGAATTATTAAATTACTCTTATTTATGTGCCTGGTGTTTTGGGTATTTTTTCTTACTTTTACTTGCTAATAATAAGTAGGTGAAGAAGTCTTGCAAGTTCACTATAGTGACATGATCTGGTAATTTTACAACTTCACAATTGTTTCACACTCATTAAGATTGATCCCGTGGTGCAGCATGTTAATTATCTGCTGTAGTGCTGTAAACCCCAATTTAACTAGTGATCGTCAAATTGGTAACTTTTGTCCCTATACCTAGTAATAGTTGCCGGATAAATTGGTGAACAATATAGAAATTCTAATATTGTTTATGGAGAATCTCGTCTTTTTTGGAATTGCAATTAATTTCTCTATTGGGCTTGTGTTGGATAAACAGGTGGAGCAGATGAACTCATTGGTTGCGGAACTTACTAATGTAAGCGCACGAGAGCATTGTTTACTCGACGAATGCAAAGATTTCTTATCAACAACATTAATACCCTTGCAGGTGAGTTTTTTCACAGCTTACGCACACCTGCATAAATTACAATAATACCCTTTACGCTGTACAAAAGAATGTGCTAAAACAAAGATACCATATTATTCCAGGTATTGCATTGTAGCCTGAGGACCCAAGTAATGCAAGTTCAACGTGAACCCACAAATAAATCGTGATATACGCTGATCGATCTCGTTTTATTGCTAACATGACTACTCAATCTTCCTCGACTACATCACCATGCAATATATTATATATATGGTTGTTAAATAGTATCTTCTTACGTAGAGTTGCTTCGTCTGTGTAGGGATTTCCAATAACAGGTCCAAAATCTAACTCTTGTGTTCCACATGTATGGTACGGTAGGAAATCTTCATTTCTACGGTTGGTTTTGTATACACCTAATCCCGGGAGTTTCAAATTCAGATATGTATGTATGTAAATATATACATTCGTAATTTCATTTTTATCCTCCTCTACATATATATATATATATATATATATATATATATATAATAATAATAATAATAATTGAAATATTTAAATTAATATGGTCCAAGAACAAGGCGGGATGGGCTTAACTGATACAGTTAGAAACAGTTGCACATTGCGATATGTCCCCATGATGTAACCTCACCAACAACTGCTCTGCAATTTGCATATTGGGATTGAAACTTTCAATTCAACTATTAATCAAATAATACAAAAACAATTTGGAAAAATATTAATTAATGCTATTATTGGGTAACAGACTTTTAACTAATTGCTATATCTATCCTCTGACTAAAATAAATACATCAATCAAACAAATGATGAGTATCAACTGATTCCGACTTCTATTTACACAAATAATTTCCACCACTAAAAAAGAATCAAATTTAAAAAAAAAATATTATCTGAATTTCCCAAAATAATTGAATTTTATGAGACGTGTTGATTCTTCAAAGAGTTTCCAACTTCGCCGGCGGCAACGAGAGGCGTGATTTCTTCGCCGGGTGTGGGCTTTCCACTTCGTCTTCCAAACCGGAGCCGAATCCCGTCCACAATTCCGGCAAAGCGGGCAGGTTCAAGTCGAAGCCCCGGTGACTCACGGTTGAACCCATACCTTCCGATGAAGTAACGACGCTGCTGCCGCTCGGGGCGCCGCCCTCATAGTGGCAGCGCTTATGTCCTCCCAAGGCCTGCCCGCTCGGGAAGCATCTGTGGCAGATGGAGCACTCGTGGGACCTGCCGCCACCGCCGGAGGTGGAGGTGGTTGTTGTGGTGGCGGAAACGGAGGTTGTTGAGTGATCTTCCCCGCTGCCGCCGCCGCCGCCGTTGAGTTTGCGGTGGCTGGCTTTGTGCCCACCCAAAGCTTGGTAGGACCCAAAAGCCTTGTCGCAAACAGAGCACTTGTACACCAACTTAGAAGCTGAAGTAGCTTGATCAGCCGGAACCATCACCCGCGTCGACGGCGGAGATTGGGTTCGCACACCCCGAAAGGTGTTCCGGTGAGGCAGCACGGCGGAAGTGGAAGCGGCGGCGGCGCCGCGTCCACCTCGAGCGAGCATGATGAGACAAAGAGCGAGGTACTCTTCTTCGGTGGGGCCGCGGGGGCGCTTGGACCGCTTGCCCTTAGTCCACGACTCCATGCAGTCGAACTGAAACGACGACGGCGGTGGAGTCGTCGGAGAGTTTAATGCTTCAAGGGCCATTGATTTTTTTCTTTTTTCTTTTTTTCTTTGTAATGGAAAGTTGTTTTAGTTATAAAGTATTGTTTTGTTGGAAGAGAGAGAGAATTTTGGTTGTTGAGATAATAATGAAATGTGGTGTTTGGGGAAAGAGTTTTTATAACAAGTGAAGTTTGGGGAAATAGGAGGGAAGTTGCGTGAGAAGTGTTGAGAAAGTAGAGGATAGAAACAAAAGAAATAGGAATAAAATTGATCACGTTTTTGTTTTGGTTACTTGGAGGCCAAGTGGTGGGAAGCTAGTCGACTGAGTTAGGGAGGTGAGAGAAAGAGAGAGCAACTGTGTGTAGTGTGTGAGAGAGAGAGTGGTGTTTGAAGTTTGACTATTGAATATAGAATTCTAGTGAGTGAAGACTGAGTGCGGGGCGTACTGTGTGGACTTTGTCAAAGTCAAAACTCCTACGCCGTGTTAGTGATTTCTTATTTATGAAATTAATTATGTTTATACTCGGTTTGCTTAAGAAAAATTACTTATAATAATATATCATAAAATGTAAGTTCTTGCATAAAACATATTTGAATATTTAATTATTTTATAAATTTGGGGTCTGAACCATGAAAAGATGGCCGAATTCATATGCTGTTTGTATATACCAATTATTAAATTTAATAATTTAGGAGATGAATATGAGCACATATATGCTGTGACTAACAGTGATAGTTATCTGCATCCAATAATAAGACAACAATTCAGAATTGGACAAAAATAAGTACTGAAATAGTGTATATAGAAACCCGCGGCTTCATTACTATCAGAATTTTGTGCCACGTGTCCTTGATGATATATATAGACAATATATAGGTGTGAATGAGTTGATTTTAATTCGAGCCGACTTGCTAGTTTCATGAGGTTAGTCAACTAATTTACACCCTAATCTCATCACATAAAATTAGGGGTGAATGTCTGATGGATTGGTTCGAAATTTGTATTTTTAGAGAATTTTCAAAAAAATTCCGAAAGTGCAAAATCAATTCCAATTTCAATTCAAAAAGGCCTGAAAATTTCGATTTTTTTTGGAAATCGGATAAGTTTTAAAATTTCAACACTTAGCAATTTTTTTCTAAAAATTTCATAATTTTCAAAAAATAAGAGCATCCACCTCGATAAAAGTAAAACTAATAACTGCTAAGTTTCAGTTCAATAAAAATAAAATCATAAACCACATTAATATCCAATAAATTTTCTAACAATAATTCAATATGTCAAAATCATAATACAAAACTTAAATCAAATTACTATTTCAGAAAATAAAATACTTAAAATAACTATTATTTAATATACATTATTATAGGTGTACTTTTTGGAAAAATCGGAATTTTTCAGTATTAATTTCAAAAACTAAATATGATCGAAAATAAAAAAATCAATTTTTTTTTTTTAAAATTGACAAAAATTGGAAATCGAAATTTCGGAAGTTGGAATGAAAAAAGTTGTCTCAGATCGAAACCGACGGAATTGAAATTTCCTTTCCAACTTACATCCCTACATAAATTGACATCCGATCATATAAAACGAAACACTTAAATAAAGTAATTCCTGCAATATTTAGCGCGCGCGTACAAAAAAAAAAAAAAAGTAATTCCTGTAATAATGTCAATTTTAAAAAACAAAAAAAACACCCTTTCCCTTTGTTCAGTTTTTTCTACAATTTGTCGAACTAACTAAGAAAAAGACTTTTGTTTGATTAATTAACTTAGTTTAGGTTATGCAATTTCGAGGAGAGTTGTAAGTTCTGGAACAACGGAAGGGGTTGACCGTTGACAATTGGAGTGATATTAGTGTTGGTTTAGTAATGTACTTATGTGCATGAATCTATCTACAAAATTTGGGATTCCTGTTTTACACTTTATTTATTGATTCTTGACTTTGGACTTTTACTTTAATTTTAGTCCAACTTGTACTTCTTAAATAAAAGTATAACAATATAATTGACGGGCACATGTCATTTAAAGTGAAATATATATTAAAGGGATAAACATGTTTGATTGTTTAAGTTGGTCATAAGTAGGCAATTGTGCTAATTTTATCCGATCAGATTGAGTAATTTTACCGAGATTTAAAAGCTAGGGAAGGGATTGTGATTTAAAATTTCTATCTCGAGATCCCGATGCCGAATACCGATCCCGATCGAATATCTTGAATTCCTAAAATTATGGCTCGAACTTATCCCCTACTCGTGGTTGTTTCATTTAATTAATGACCTTGAACAACCAAATCAAATGATTGATATAGAGCTGAACGAGTGAGTGAAGATCACGAATAAAGGTATGAATTACAATCACTGGTGATGGGCTTAAATTAGCCACATACAATAATATATGTTTTATAGTTTTTTGTTATGTTTAATAGATTGTTAGATCTTATCATTAGTTTGAATATTCATACCTTGAGTACTTATGAGATCACAGAGTAATGTGGATGAGAAAGATTATTAAATAACATATGTAGATAATGTGCCTAAGATAATATATCTAGGTGGTCCAATTTATTGAATTCCCTTTGTTATTCAAGAACTGTATCCTTTTCTCTATACATGACCTAGTATATATACTACTATAATATGGGCCTTTTTGGGCTTCTTTATATTTCCAAGATAGAAAAGTCGCCATCCTGTCTATTCGGCCACGTGGCGACTTCTTATTGGTTCTTTTTACTGTTCCTCAATCAGTTCAGACCTGCCACCCATCCTTTACGTCCCAGAATTGTCCCCTGCTCCACTTTCGAGATGCCGATGTAATGCTTACTTCGTCAGGCGTGGGATTACCTCGGAAGCCTATCTCGCAGGTGTTATACCTCGTTAATTACCCTCTGCGGTCTATTATGATAGTTGTGGTATTGGGCTTCCTTTAACTTGACCTGGGCCCAAGTCGGGCCTGATTATCTGGGCTTCACTTAATTGGACTTGGGCTTTTCCTCAAGGCCAAAATCGGTCCGGATCATCTACTCCCCCCACTATACGTAGTTTGACGAGGTATCCAAAACTAGGTATATTATTAATGGTTTAGAAAAAAACTCTTGCATCTCCGCTCTACTCCCCCCAGTTCGCCACTACTAAAAGAATTTAGTGGGGACAAACTATACCATCAATGATACTTCGGCACCAGTCTTTTCGCCCGCCGTCTGCTTTTGCCGAAAACCCTTGCAATCATGACCCTTTCCTCGGAATTCGCGTAAACATGTGAACTAAATGGCAGAAGAATTAAATGTGGTGAGTCCACGTGTCTGCACCTGTATGGCGACAATTGATATGCCCGAGGTTCTGGGGTAAGTGAAACGTTTGAGGAATCGTGGCCGTTCTTTAATTTCAAATGAGCGGCCAGATTCCCTTCATTTTTGTAGAGAGAGAAATTCACTCTATATATACATTCTAAATAGGCCTTTCTCGATTTTTCGTAACCTCTTCTTCCTCATATTGCTTCATCTGTGCTACTACCCATTTCCGATTTGTTCAAACTTTTTCCGTTTGCTTCACCTTTCCCGACGGCACGCGCACGTCCGTTCCCGGATTATCCCTTAGCTTCACCGGAGGCCATTCTTGCAGGTGAATTTCTCATTCCTTTTTTGTTTTCAACAAATTTAACCCTTGTAGGATGTCTAGCGATTCGTCCCCCCTAGGTAGTTCTCTAGAATTGCTATTAGGTGATTCAGATTCCTCGCATCTCCTTTTAGATGACGCCATGTTTGATGGTGTAGACGAGATAGGAGACGCCGCTTTGGTAGATCCTAATAGATTAGTACAAAAATCCCATACCCCTTTCGAGTTCCAAACATCCTTACATAGTAGTGGACAGTAGTTGGGTCTTGGAGTCAGTGGAGTTCGGGCCTGGATATCGGTATGTATACCCCGAGCCGACCCAACTTCCGGGCTATTTTGATGACGAGCTTTTGACTTGGTATGAGGACCAAGCCAAAGCCGACCTTTCCTTTCCTCTTAACCCCTTTTTAGTAGACGTCGCCAACCGTTTCGGTGTACCTTATGTCGGTTTTCCCTTAATTCATTTAGTATAATGAATTGTTTTTTTATGATATGCACCCTCCTACATATCCAAAATATTTGCGGCGGGCTATTGGATTATTTTTTCTATGCTCGCCGTTCTGGGTTGATGTATTATCTTTCCAATTGGCGTGATAAGACTATTTTTACCAATACTCTGAACACAATAAATTATTGGCATCGAAGATTCTTCTTCGTTCGAAGCAATGAACCGTGGCCCTTTAATACCAAAGCCGGTAGTATTCAAACCCCACCTCCTCATACCGACGATATGCTTGCCGATGTTGCGTATATAGAGTCTTTTTTTCATAAACAATATTTAGACGTAGAAAATGCCATACGGACACCAGGGCTGCTGGCTGCCTTTGGTTTACTCCGTATAGACACGGCCACGGGCCGGTTCGGGCCGGTTCAAACCGGTTCACGGTTCACATTTTTCGGAACCGGAACCGGCCCGTAGTATGGGCCGTTCAGAGTCTATCCGGTTCCGGGTCTATCCGGGCCGGTTCCGGGTCGGCCCGGAAATTTTGAATTTTTTTTTTTTTTTGAAATATTTTATGAATAAGTAAATTAAAAGAAGTACTTTTAAATAGAAAAAGGAAAAGAAAATAAATGAAAAGACTTGAACTTAATTTTAGATTCAAAATTTTAAAGATTTCGAATTTAAAATGATTTTTTGAAATATTTTATGAATAAGTAAATTAAAAGAAGTACTTTTAAATAGAAAAAGGAAAAGGAAATAAATGAAAAGACTTGAACTTAATTTTAAATCCAAAATTTTAAAGATTTCGAATTTAAAATGATTTTTTGAAATATTTTATGAATAAGTAAATTAAAAGAATAAGTAAATTTAAAATAATTTAAATATTTTATGAATAAGTAAAATTCAAAAAAAGTAAATAATGGCCGGTTCACCCGGGCCGGTTCGGGCCGGTTCACTAGCCATTATTTGCTTTTTTTTTTTTAAATTTTTTGAATTTTTTTTTTTAAATCCGAGTGAACCGCCGGGCCGGCCCGGTGGTTCACGGTTAACCATTTCTCAGAACCGGGCCCGTCCACTCGGTCAACGGGCCGGTTTGGGCCGTCAACGGGCCGGTTCGGGCCGGTTCCGGGCACAAAACCGGCCCGTGGCCGTGTCTAACTCCGCACGCTGGGGCCTGCTATGACTCCCGCCGAACGCGGTAATAATCTCGATTTAACGTGAACTACCCCTTTCGGTAATAAGTATATTGTTTTAACAGTTCGCCCATTTTTTTATTTTTTAGAAGCAGCGATGTTTGCCCTTCTTCGTGCTACCCCGGTTCCGAAAAAAGCTGCTGCCACCAGCGAAGCCTCGACCGCGCCGCCTACGACCAATGAAGCTAACGCGGTGCCCAGCTCGACGGCCGACGTGACTAACACCACCAAGTTTTCACGTCGTAAACGGGGTGCCGAGGATGCTCTTATTCCCTTGCCCAAGAAAACGTCGGCCTCGAATCCGTCGAGTTCGAAGAAGAATGCTCCGCCACCTGCTAAAGCAGCCGCTACCTCGGCGATTGCCTTGGCTCGTCCCTCCCCCAAAACGATCGCGGTACCGGCCTCGTTGCTCATCCCGAAACCTGGCTCTGACGATGGTGGACTTTATTCGCCATTTCGGGTCTTCCAACGATCAAAAGGTGCTGGAGAAACTGGGAGAAGACGAGCTACAAAGGCAGGGTTGTGCCGCCCTTAGCCATCTCGTTGGTCATTTTGCCAACAGGGGCCTTCCCTCTGCCTATTCCCAACAGGAGCTATCTCGCATGCGAGATGAGCTTGAGAAAACGAAGGACGCCGCGGTGGAGTAAGAGAGGGCTCTCCGAGATCTGATCGTGATCTCAGAGCAGCGGGCCCAAGAGCAGGCGACTGCTCTTGAACAAAAGAGAGCTGCCTTCAAGGCAGAAAAGGCCGAGCATGTTCGCGAGAAAGCGGCCCTTGAGGAGGAAAAATCTCGGGCTTGGCAAGAAGGCTTCTGTGCCTATCTTCCTTCCGACGAGGGTAGGGCTATACTGCAGAAGTTCTCGGCAGAACTTAGGTATATGTACCGGAACTCTCCGGATTTTTTAACCGACCTAATGTCGTATACGTAGTTTGCCGTCTCGCATACCATCAAGATAGCGCAGATGGATATTGCGAAGGCTGGCGCCTCGGTCCACCTAGATCCCGTCGACATAATGGGAAGATTGCCTGCCAACGAGATGCCAGTGACCTGGCAACCATTACAGGTGCGCCGTGATGGGCAACCGTGGTATACTGTCCCGCTGGATGAGGCACTTCGGCCGTATACCGGGGCAAGCCCTGTGGAGTTGATGGATGCGGTCGCTGCCAGCGAGGAAGACACCGAGGCTGATAATGTGGCGACTCAAGATGAAGATGCTCAGGACTAAGGCCTTATGTCGGCTTTATATATATATATATATATATATATATATATATATATATATATATATATATATATATATATATATATATATATATATATTTTCGCTTTTGTATTTTTCGTCATTTGCTTTGTTGTTTCTCAAAATATTTATAATATAAGTTGATTTACTTTCTCTGTATACCTTATGTTCCTCGGTTGCCTTATTGATACTAACCATTAATATTAACTTATGATGTCGGTTGATGAGGTTGATATCGACCTTGTTTCATTTAAGTGCCATCATTCCAATCACCCCATTTTCTTGAACATTTTTCCTCTTTAAAAAGCTGAGCTGCTTTGGATGCGAGGTTAATATTGACCTCACTTGATTCAGTAATTTAAACAACTTATTTTATCGGCTGCGAGGTCAATCCTGACCGTCTTATTCCAGTATAATCATTCTGATTACACTTATTATATCGGATGCGAGGTGTTGGCCGAAAACCTACACGCAAGTGCACGTATCGTACAAGTAATATAGTGGACAATTAAGTACGGATATCGAACCCACAGGGAATATTTAATTATCTAATCCTAGACGCTAAATTCTACCAATTGCTATCAAGCCCACCCTACACAGTCGACTTTGGAGAGAATTAACTAAATTAAAGCAAATTAAAAGGACAAAGCAAGAAAGCAAATTAAACGCGAAGATTTATCAGAGTAAACAAGCCTAGGATTTTATTCTTCCCCCAATTCCTTCAATTATGCAAGCAATTAACCCGGATTATTAACCTGAGATGCTAAATTAATCATAACCCGCTTCCGCGTGTATTACGATTCTAATACTCTAGATTCAATTACTATATTCCTATGCAATTAATTCTAGAACACAGCATTAAACACAAATCTCAATAATGGCTATCTAAGAGATTAACTATATTCCTATGTTAATACCACAAAGGCTCTTCTACTACAGTTCTAATTATTAACCCGATCTTCCGATTCATGCGATTAACAATAACATAAAAGCACATAAGGTGATCAAGTTCATGCACTTAATAAAACAAGTAGAAGAAATAATCCGGAATTAAAATTTGCATAAAATCATAGAATTGGGTTCATAAATCCCACATAGGGTTCCAAATAAAATCCTAGAAATAAGAAAATTAGCAACTCATGATTTAAAGGAAAAACACAAATAAAATAAGTCATAAACGATAAATCTATGCTTAGAGTCTTCGAATTCATTGTCTTCGTTATTGCTTTGTTGCTCTCCAAATTGCGTCCAAAGATGGATCCCTAATTGTGTGCTTGACTTGGTCTTATATACGGTGGAAAACTTGGGGAAGAAGGTAGTTTCCTTGTGCAATTAGGATTCCTTTACTGCGTTTTTTCGTCATCTCGGACGGCCGTCCCGAATTTTGTACTAAAACTCGGACGGGCGTCTCACAACCAGAGACAACTTCTGGTTCTCAGACGGGGGTCCCAGAATTTGAACTAAAACTCGGACGGGGGTCCGAGCTTTAAATCTTAAGAATTTTGATTTTTTCACTTTTGGCCCATATTTTCTCCAAAATTGCAGTTTTGACCCCATACTTTTCTAATTCTTCAATTTGTACCTAAAATACAATAAATCAACCTTTTAAGTACCAATTATCGTTAAAACACACCAAAAGCTCAAATAAAAAGATACGATAAAGTGTAAAAATATACACTTAACACGAGGTCAACACTGACCTCGTCTTATTCGAGTGTAATCATTCCGATTACACTCTATATCGGGTGCGAGGTCAATACTGACCTCGTCTCATTCCAGTGTAATCATTCCGATTACACTTATATCGGATGCGAGGTCAATACTGACCTCGTCTTATTCCAGTGTAATCATTCTGATTCCACTCATATCGGATGCGAGGTCAATACTGACCTCGTCTTATTCCAGTGTAATCATTCCGATTACACTCATATCGGATGCGAGGTCAATACTGACCTCGTCTTATTCCAGTGTAATATCTCGCGTCTTGTGATTGTTGATCTTGGATAAAGCACATTTTACGAAAAAAAGGCCCAAATGCACATATTTCATTAACAAAAGAGCTGAGGTATATCATCCCCAGACCAAAATAACGGCAATTAACAAAAGAGATGAGGTATATCACCCCCAAACCAAAATAAAGGCACTTATACCTTTAACAAAAATAAAACCAGTAAACAACCACTCTTCAAGAATGAAACTTCTTCAAATGACACACGTCCCATGGACGAGGTAACTTTGTACCGTCCTTATCTTCAATCCAATATGCACCCCCATTTAGTCGTTGCATTATCTTGTATGGTCCTTTCCAAATTTCCTCGAGTTTACCTCACATCTTCAGAGCATCAGCTCGTCGCAATACCATGTTGCCTACGTCGAACCTACGTCCTCGGACTCTTTTATCATATGTCGCCTTTATCGCCGCTTTAACTCTCTCCATGCGCCTTGCTGCTACCTCTCTCTTTTCCATGATCATATCCAAACTTTCCCGGATTAAGGGCCCATTCTGCTCCGGGTTGAAGGATTGGGTCCTTCGACTAGGTATCTGTTGAGTGTAGATTTTACACTCAATACGTTTACTTTACGTGGATCTTTTGTTTAGATTTAATTATATTTGTGCTTTAATTGATTGATTTTGTGTTTTATAGGTGAAAAACGAGAATTAGGTGTCCATGAAGGAAAAAAGATCAAAAAGAAAGGAAAAAGTTGCAAATAAGGAAACAAATCAAATTGGAAGAAGGAATCTCGCCACAGCTTTGACAGTGTCCACGATTTCGAGCATATCTCTCTCATACAAACTCCGAATTAGGTGATTTTGGCGGCATTGGAAAGCTAATTTCAAGGGCTACAATTCTTATTTTCAAAATATTCCAAAATTCGGACTCCAACTCGGCGAAAATCGAAGAACAAGTCCTGATGGGGGAAAGTGGCGGAAATTGATTCCTATTAGGTTTCTACTTCTTCCTTATCAAGAAAAGCCTATAAAAGCAACATGTCTCTACACCATAAGCACGAAATTTTACACCACAAAACGCGAAGAACGAAGATCAACGAAGACTCAAGCATAGTTTTTCTTATTTAATTTATTTATTCTATTTTGCTTATCATAAGAATTACGAGTAGCAAAGTTTTTAATCTAGGATTTTGTTGGAACCCTATGTGGGGATGGTGAACCCGTTTTCTTGAGATTATGCAATTATGATTTTATGATTATTTCTTCTCCTTGTTATGATTGTTAGTGCATGAACCTGATCAATTTATGTGCTTTATCTGTGATTATTGGGATTGATTCGACAGAGCTATTTTGATAATTAGACGGTAGGTAGAAGAGCCTTCGAGTAGTTTTCACCGGATGAGTGTGTCAATTGCATGTGGTGTCGTAGACATACAGATATCACCTTAGGTAGCCATTTACGAGACTTGTTAGTTAATGCTTTATTTATAATTGGTTTGCATAGACATATAGTGAATCGTTTATGAATAATAGACTCATAATACACGCGACAGCGGGTTATGAGTAAATTAGTGTCTCGGGTTAATAATTATGAATCATGTCTTTCATAATTGAGGGGTTTTGGGTGAGCAATTCTTGCATAGGGGGAAGATAAAATCCTAGGTCCGTTTTTATTGATATTTTCTAGTGTTTATTTGCTTTCATAATTAGTTTAATTGTTTTATTGATTTATTTAACAACTTTGCGTAGGCTGAATAAAAATCATAATTGTTAGAATTTGGTACTTAGGATTAGATAATTTGAGTATTCCCTGTGGGATCGACATCCGACTCTCACGAGTCCACTTTTACTACTTGTTTGCGATACGTGCACTTGCGTGTTAGGTATTTAGCACCCAACAAGTTTTTGGCGCCGTTGCCGGGGGATACGGCTAAATTATCTATTTATTCTAATATCAAATTTGAGCAATTTTTCTTACTTCAGCCATTTAATTTTTATTTTTATTTTTATTTTTATTTTTAATTTTTATTTTTTGTTGTTTTTGTTTCATGTCTGGTTACAATGTTCGGGCACCTCAAACGGGATATGAATGACTTCCATCTGACGAATACCTTCAAAACACCTATGATATGCCTCCGTTTTGTTCAGCATGTGGTGGAAATCATTATTCCGATCAATGTTGGGGATCACCAATAGCGACGAATTTCGGCGAAATTACCAACGGAGGTTATTGGAACACTTACACCAACAACACATATGAGCAAAGCTTTCAAGACCAAGATTTGAACGAGTTTCAACATAGAGAGCCACAATTTGATGATTTTCAAAATTATTATCCAATGCAGCAGCAGCAGACCACTGATGAACAAGTTGATTTGGTATCCCTCATTGCCGAATTTATGAAGTCCACTCAAGCATCATTTCAAAACATGGAGATACAACTGGAAGATATGACACTCAAATTAAAATCTGAATCTCTTGAAAATATTCCAGACGAAATCGGCAATGGTTATATCAAAGAAAATTCGGGTGAAGCCTGCGGTGAGAAAAATCTTCTATGTCCGGAAAATAGTGTCGATGTGAGAGAAATAGAAATTACGAAGACACTTGAGCATGATGAATCTGAGAAGGCAATCGAGCTAAACCACGAAGATGCCTCAGAACAAGAGAAGAAGAAGATGGATGTAATGATTGAAGATATTCTAGTTGTGGGCTCTGTCGTTGATCTAAATGTGGATTTGAAGGCATCAATAGTGGTTGATGAGAAGACTAATATTTTTGAGGTGGAGGTTATACGCAGACTGGAGATTTTTGTATACCGATTTGAGGGAGCGGGTGATGAAGATCCCATCTTGGCTTCGTACCGATTGATTATAACCAAGAAAGACTACAAGCTAAGGTGGACCCTGACATATTGCAATGCTATCCATGCCTTGGTTGCAATTGAAGTGATAGAGCTCATGGATGGATGCGCAATCTACAAGGCTTTGGATTGGACATAACAATTTTAAGAAACAAAGTCTGGCTGAAGACTTAAAACTTAGCGCTTCTCGGGAGGCAACCCAAGCATTTTTCAATTTTCGTATTTTTATTTATTTTTATTTTTATTTTTCTTAGGATTTTAGCATGCGCAAACTAATAATTTAATCTTGTTTTAATTTTCAGGTCGAAAATCAAACACTAAGGGATCGAACGTTAAATGTGGATTAAACGAACGTCAAAGAGTGCATCCCGGAGAAGGACCTTTCGACTAATCAGGTGTATTCTATCCTTGAACTTTGTTCTAATTGCATTGAGGACAATGTAAATTTTAAGTTTGGGGGTGGAAAATTACTTGTTTTTATGTGCTTTAATTTTTTAGTTGGCATGCCTTATGATTTTTTTTTTTCGTTTATTTATTGTTTTCTTAAAAAAAAAATTAAATAAATTTTTTTTTTGCTTGAGTAGAAAGCATCGATGAGTTATGATGTTGAGAGATGATCAATGTTTGATGATGAGATTGCTTGTTTTGTGTGATAATGATTAGATATTTGTTTAACTTTCGATTCAACGGAACTTAGAAACGAATTATTGCTAGGACTCACACTTTGTGCATTGTTTTGGTTGAATGTTTTGTATTTTAAATTTGGAGTTAATTTGTGTTAGATCATGCTATGTTCGGTTTTAGACCTCACCTTAGGAAATTTATGATATGAAGTATTGAGTAGTGAGTGATTTGGGATATGATTTGGGCATTCTTTGATCCGTTTGAGCCTTTCAAGCCGACCTTTTTATCGAAATTTTCCTTAAAACCTTGATTTGAGCCTCGGAGAAAAGGTGTTCTTTCTTTTATCCAATGTGTATAAGGTAGAATAGATGGAGATTCTTGAAAAATTACCCCTTGGATTTCGCTTGAATTTTTTTATAAAGTCCTTCTTCTTCTTCCCCGAAAAAAAAAATTAAAAAAAAAAAAAAAGAAAAAAAAAAGAGAGAGAAAAAAAAAAAAGAAAAAAAAAAAGAGAAGAAAAAAGAAGAAGAAGAAGAAGGACTAGTTGTTGAATTGTTTTGAAAGCTCGATCCATTGTCTTAAGAGCAAAAGTGGAGACTTTTGAACTCTTAAGAATCGAGTTTATTAAAGTCCTTAGAGGTGACTTCATTGTTTCAAACGCTTATATTTCAAATTTTGGCGTAATCACCTCAATTCAAGAAGAATAGCCACATATACCCATATTTCCTACCTCGAACCAAAAAGCCTAACAATTGAAAGCCAAAAAGCCCCAATGATCCCAATAGCTTAATGTTCGATATTAGTAGAGTAGAATATTTTGGTGAGTATTTGGAGTCAAACATATACATGTAAGCATAACTTTTTTCTATCTTTAATTTACAAATATTGGATGCTTGAAGCAATTGCATGATTTGTGGTTTTTTGCTATGGTAAGTGACTAAGTGCTTTTGAATTTTGAGCTTGCGAATGCCTATGAATTTTCATTATAATTACAAGTTCTGAAAACATGAGGTTGGTCATTAATCTATGTGATAAGATGCGGTAGTTGAGTTATTTGCTTACGATTAGAGATTGCTTGAGGACAAGCAAAAGTTCAAGTTTGGGGGTGTGTTGAGTGTAGATTTTACACTCAATACGTTTACTTTACGTGGATCTTTTGTTTAGATTTAATTATATTTGTGCTTTAATTGATTGATTTTGTGTTTTATAGGTGAAAAACGAGAATTAGGTGTCCATGAAGGAAAAAAGATCAAAAAGAAAGGAAAAAGTTGCAAATAAGGAAACAAATCAAATTGGAAGAAGGAATCTCGCCACAGCTTTGACAGTGTCCACGATTTCGAGCATATCTCTCTCATACAAACTCCGAATTAGGTGATTTTGGCGGCATTGGAAAGCTAATTTCAAGGGCTACAATTCTTATTTTCAAAATATTCCAAAATTCGGACTCCAACTCGGCGAAAATCGAAGAACAAGTCCTGATGGGGGAAAGTGGCGGAAATTGATTCCTATTAGGTTTCTACTTCTTCCTTATCAAGAAGAGCCTATAAAAGCAACATGTCTCTACACCATAAGCACGAAATTTTACACCACAAAACGCGAAGAACGAAGATCAACGAAGACTCAAGCATAGTTTTTCTTATTTAATTTATTTATTCTATTTTGCTTATCATAAGAATTACGAGTAGCAAAGTTTTTAATCTAGGATTTTGTTGGAACCCTATGTGGGGATGGTGAACCCGTTTTCTTGAGATTATGCAATTATGATTTTAAGATTATTTCTTCTCCTTGTTATGATTGTTAGTGCATGAACCTGATCAATTTATGTGCTTTATCTGTGATTATTGGGATTGACTCGACAGAGCTATTTTGATAATTAGACGGTAGGTAGAAGAGCCTTCGAGTAGTTTTCACCGGATGAGTGTGTCAATTGCATGTGGTGTCGTAGACATACAGATATCACCTTAGGTAGCCATTTACGAGACTTGTTAGTTAATGCTTTATTTATAATTGGTTTGCATAGACATATAGTGAATCGTTTATGAATAAGAGACTCATAATACACGCGACAGCGGGTTATGAGTAAATTAGTGTCTCGGGTTAATAATCATGAATCATGTATTTCATAATTGAGGGGTTTTGGGTGAGCAATTCTTGCATAGGGGGAAGATAAAATCCTAGGTCCGTTTTTATTGATATTTTCTAGTGTTTATTTGCTTTCATAATTAGTTTAATTGTTTTATTGATTTATTTAACAACTTTGCGTAGGCTGAATAAAAATCATAATTGTTAGAATTTGGTACTTAGGATTAGATAATTTGAGTATTCCCTGTGGGATCGACATCCGACTCTCACGAGTCCACTTTTACTACTTGTTTGCGATACGTGCACTTGCATGTTAGGTATTTAGCACTCAACAATATCCGTACCTCGATAGGCAACACTGCCTCCATTCCGTACACGAGTGAGAACGGAGATTCCCCCGTAGCTGACTTAAAGGTAGTTCGGTATGCCCATAATACCGATGCAAGCTCCTCCGTCCAGGACCCCTTGGCCTCTTCCAATCTCTTCTTTATGCCCGATACTATTATCCGATTAGTTACCTCCACTTGTCCATTAGCTTGTGGGTGTGCTACCGAACAAAAACGTTGTTGGACTCCCATCTCGGCACACCACGCTGGTACCTTAGAGCCGTTAAATTGCGTTCCATTGTCCGAGATGAGTATACGAGGAATTCCATACCGGCAACATATATTTTCCCATAGAAATTTCAAAACACTAGCCTCGGTGATTGAGATGACCGACTCAGCCTCGGCCCATTTAGAAAAATAATCAACTGCCACGATTAGAAACTTGCGTCGGCCGGAAGCCCTTGGGAAATGACCGACGATATCAATTCCCCATTGGGAAAAAGGGCAGGGCGATGTCATGATACCCAGCTCCTCGGCCGGCACGTGGATCAGCGGAGCATGCCTTTGGCATTTGAAGCAACGTTTTAACAAAATCCCCCGAGTCTTTTTTCATTGATGGCCAGAAATATCCCGCTTGTAAATGTCGCCTTGCCAAGCTCTTGGCGCCAGTATGATTGCCACAACACCCCTCATGCATCTCTATCATTGCATATTCAACCTCCCCCTCGCCGAGGTATTTCAACGGATCCGAGACAAATGATCTTTTATACATCTCCCCCCCAATCTCCACAAAGTATCGTGCTCGCGCAGCTACTTTGTCCTGCTCTTTTCTACCGGACACTTTTTCACCTCATAGACACGCCAATAATGGCTGCCTCCAATCCTTCTTCACTTCTATGCTCAAGACTTCGGCCTTGCCATCGCATTCCGGCTCCACTCTCAACGATATAGATCGTTCCCCAATGCCGCCATTCTTCCTGTTAAAACCTGAACCTCCTTGACCGTCCTCGGGGATCTCATACCCAGCACAGCCTGCACCTTCTCTGGATTTACCTCGATACCACGCTCGGTCACCATATACCCCAAAATTTTTCCCGCTCGCACCCTAAAAGAACACTTCGCCGTGTTGAGCTTCATTCCGTACTGCTGTAACTTGGCGAAGGTCTCTCTCAAGTCCTCGATGTGAGTTCTCGCCTCCTTACTCTTGACCAGCATGTCGTCAACATATACTTCCATATTCCTTCCCAGCTGACTTCGGAACATGGTATCCACCAGCTGTTGATATGTTGCCCCGGCATTATTCAACCCAAACGGCATGACGGCGTAACAAAACGTGCCTGCCGCCGTAACGAAACTGACATTTTTATGATCATCCGGATGGAGCATGATCTGATGATACCCTTGTGAAGCATCCATCATGCTTAATAATTCATACACTGATCGATCCTTGGCAAAGGATAATGATCTTTGGGAGATGCCTTATTGATATCTCTAAAATCTATGCACATTCGCCACTTTCCCTCGGCTTTCTTTACCAGCACGGCATTGGACAACCAATTAGGAAATTGGATCTCCTTGACATGTCCCGCATGTAGAAGTCGCTCTACTTCCGCAGCTATTATCCCGTCTTTCTCTGCTCCGAAATGCCGTCTCTTCTGCTTTATTGGCCGGGTGTCGGTCCGAATATTTAGCCGATGTTGAACAAACTTGGGGTCGATGCCCTTCAAATCCTCCGGACCCCAAGAGAATACATCGTGATTCTCTTGTAAATATGCTATCAGTTCCCGGCATACTTCCCCACTTATCTCACTACCGATTCGAGTGGTACATCCTGGCGTTTGCGGCCGTAATTCTATCGTCAACAATTCCTCCATCGGAGTCACCCGAGGCTTCTTATTATCAGTGTCCACCGTCCTTTGTATTTCCTGCAGCGAATGGACTATCTCTCCTCGCTTTCTGCTGGCTACTCGTACTCCATCGGCATAGCAATGCCTTGAGTCCTCCTGATCCCCTCTTACCTCGCCTACCTTCCTTCCCACAGAAAATTTCAACTTCATGTGTACTGTTGATGGGATAGCCTCAAATTTATTTAGGGTCGGCCTCCCCAATATTACATTGTATGTTGACGGGGTATCCATCACCAGGAAGCGTATTGTGTGAGTTTGTGTCAGAGGCGACGTCCCCAAAGTTATCTGTAAAGAAACCTCGCCAATGGCCACCTCTTCCTCGCCCGAAAACCCATAGACCGGTGTTTTCACCGGGCTAACGTTTAACTCTCCTAGACGCATCAGGTCTAGACATTCTTTGTACAGGATATCCACCGAGCTACCATTGTTGACAAAAATCCTAGATACCTCGTATCCCGCTAGGTGCGCGGTTATCAGCAAAGCGTCGTGGTGTGGGCAAACTATCCCTCTCTTGTCATTCTCACCGAAAGAAATGGTTGGCGAGCTCTCCTGCACCTGATGAATCCATTCTCCTAAAAAGGCCCATTTTCCCGACCTGTCATACTTTTTCCTCGCCATTGTGCGAGTCCCCACTCGTAGGTCCTCCCATGATCATCTTGATGCGATTCATCGGTTCCACCGAGGGTCGGGGTTGATGGTCACGCCTACTAGCAGTGTGGTTTCCCGCCTGCATTTTAACGAACCGATCTATTCGACTCTGCCGAGCTAACCTCTCTAGCTCGTCCTTCAGATGACCACATTCGTTGGTACGATGGCCGTACCGATTGTGGTATCGACAATAACCGTCGTCGCTGGAGCCCTACGGCGGGGTCTTCTGATATGTGGTTGGCCAATGATTATCCGACCCCTCTTATACCGCCATCAAAACTTGGGTTGGTGACTTGTTGAGGACGGCATAGCTCGTGTATCGAGGTTTTCGATGCTCAAAGATGGGGACTTCGCGAGCTATGGGATGACGCCGCTGTCTATGTAAATCCTTTCCCCGCGATGGGCTCTTTACCGGGGTATCATGGGCAGGAACCACCACGGTTTCTTCTTCCTTCATCTTCCTCGCCTCCTCCATTGCGATGTATTTCTCGGCCCGCTTTAAAAGCTCGTCATACGTCGACGGCGCCCGCTTAGCCAACGACCTGAACAATTCTCCATGCCTTAACCCCTGCATGAGGGCATTAGTAAGCACATCCTGTGAAAGGCCCGGCACCTCTCGGTTAGCATTTGTGAAACGACGCACAAAGTTCCTCAAAGGCTCCTGCTCCTCCTGCCGAACTCCAAAGTGGGGTGAGAGCCGACTTCTTCTGCTTTTTAGAACTGGCGAAGTGGTCCAACAACATGGCACTAAAAGTTTCAAAGTCTCGTACTGACCCTTCCGCCAGCTGTCCAAACCACAAGTGGGTTGCATCCCGCAGTGTGGTTGCGAAAGCGCGGCACATGATCCCATCCGAGAACTAGTGTAAATAAGACGTGGTCTGAAACCGACTTATATGATCCCAAGGGTCTGTCGTCCCATCATATGCTAGGTGCTCCAAAGCCTGAAACCCTTTTGGTAGATCCGAAGCCATGATTTCTACCGAGAATGGGTTACCTCACTGTTGTTTCAAAGGCGGGATAAGTGGGTTGTTGGAGGGGCTTGCACCCGTTCCTTCCTCCCGAATAGTTGTCCTGGGAACCATATTGCGAGCAGGGCCTTCTTGTCGGGATGCCGATGCTTCCGCCGTTGTGAAGCGAGCGTCCAAGCCTTCTTCACTTGTTGACGTCGGTACCTTGAATCTTGTGCGACAGAAAAGAGAAAAGCGAGGTAACCAAACAGAATATTACAGCAAATAATTAAAATTCACGTCTATAAATAATATATGTGGGTGGTCCAATTTATTGAATTCCCTTTGTTATTCAAGAATTGTGTCCTTTTCTCTATACATGACCTAGTATATATACTACTACAATATGGGCCTTTTTGGGCTTGTTTACATTTCAAAGATAGAAAAGCCGTCATCCTGTCTATTCGGCCACGTGGCGAGTTCTTATTGGTTCTTTTTACTGTTCCTCAATCAGTTCAGGTCTGCCACCCATCATTTACGTTCCAGAATTGTCCCCTGCTCCACTTTCGAGATGCCGACGTAATGCCGAGGTAATGCTTACTTCGTCAGGCGTGGGATTACCTCGGAAGCCTATCTCGCAGGTGTTTACCTTGTTAATTACCCTCTGCGGTTTATTATGATAGTTGTGGTATTGGGCTTCCTTGAACTTGACTTGGGCCCAAGTCAGGCTTAATTATCTGGGCTTCACTTAATTGGACTTGGGCTTTTCCTGAAGGCCAAAATCCATCCGGATCAATTGGTATCTACAATAAAGTTTTTACTCATTTTTAACCAATATATATAGCTATATATATTGAGTCACATAACGGGAACTTAATAAGAAATTATTTCTCTTTAATTAATTTTATGCTATGGTGGTTTGTCTCCACTCATGGTTTCATACCATCGATTTTTATAGACTAATAAAAAGTTGAAATTGTGTCGAGAATAAAGTAGCAAGAATAAAGATAAGTGTGCTCGGATAGAGTTGCTTCACCACGTGGGAAATAACTGTACTTGGTAAGCTTTTGGGCTTCCGTTTCCATTTTATTCTGGAGAAAAATGTTTTGGGAGAAAAATTTAAAAATAAAATAAAGTTTGTTTGTGTTTTGAGATGAGATATTTTGTACTGTAGCAAGTCAAATTATGTCTGAAAGGAGTTGGGAAAATGTATTGTGGAAGAAGAATTTAAAAGATAAAGTGATTTGATTTTGTATTTTAGTGAAAATAATTTTTACTGTAGCGGTCAAATCATGTTTGGTAGAGAGATAAATATTTGAATTTGTTTTGGGGAAAGTTTGAAAATAGTGTAGAAAGATAATTTTTATTTTAAGGAAAATGTGAAAAGAATTTGAAAACATTACCAAACATAATAGTTTTGTCATTGTGAAAGAAAAATCGGTAATATTTCCTAAATTCAATTAATGTGTTTTCTTAGTTTTAATCAATATTTTAGTTTAAAATGTAATCGTCGAGTTGTTTGAATAATGTTATTATAGAGATGGTTTCTCCAAGAGTGACAAAGTGAAAGAAGCTATCGTAATTTTAGATAAATCTTAACCTTTAAACACTTCTCTCACATTTTCAGTTCATTTATATTTTATTTTATAAGAAAACTACTGTGTTTTAAACATAGTTCACCAAACTTTTTTCTGGTGAAAATGCTTTATAATTGCTTTTGGGTTCTGCTATAGTTGATTTTGAAATTTTTAGTTGATTTCCATAATTTGTAGTACATTTTCAATTTTTGGTAAATCTGTTTACGATAATTTTAGTTGATTATGGACAAATAAAAGGGGAAATATGCAAAACCCCCCTCAAACCATAAATATTATGAGTTAAACCCATTTGACTTTTAAGACTTTTGCCCACACCCAAAGTCCAATCTTAATAAGTGAAACCCCCCTCAATAACTGTGATAAGACAAAACTACCCTATCAGTAGGTTTTTAAATAATTGTAATATTTATTTTCCATAA